GCTGGGGTACTATTGAGGAATGCATTCAGATAGAGAGAGAGCTCCAAGGTCCCCCTGTTCAGACATAGCACAGATTATTTCACCCTAGTTTTCCCAGATTCTGATTCCATCAAAGTTTTCTCTGTAGCAATAACACAGAGTTGAAAATCTTCACTCACCTTGATTTTCTATCGTCTGTTTCTACAGTAGTTAACTAGCAATAAAAGGTACTATTGAGGAATGCATTCAGATAGAGAGAGAGCTCCAAGGTCCCCCTGTTCAGACATAGCACAGATTATTTCACCCTAGTTTTCCCAGATTCTGATTCCATCAAAGTTTTCTCTGTAGCAATAACACAGAGTTGAAAATCTTCACTCACCTTGATTTTCTATCGTCTGTTTCTACAGTAGTTAACTAGCAATAAAATGTTTTAAAGCATTGAAGCATATGCAGAAAGATAATACTGACTTACCTAATTTCTTCCTGGCTTGGTATATGTTCAAAGCATTAAATGATTTGTCGTATTGTTTAGGACATTGACTTTTATTGTTTGCAAGAAAAATTCTTAACCTCAGTTGAGTTCTCTTGCATCTCTGACTATCTTCGGCATTCAGCTCAGTTACAGACTTGATGAAAGATTAGCAGAGAATAAGGTCAGATTCCAATCCAAATACCAAGCAATCTGCCCAGTGGAATATTCTCTTCTTGCTTGACAAGCCAACTGTTCAAGAGGGTTTACTGAGAACTGAAATGTCTGATTTGCAATCTTTATTGTTGGATTCTTCAGTAAAAATTATCCATTTTTCTTGTACACTGGCAGAGGAGAGTCAAAGAGTATAAACAGGTTTTTTTGGACTTTGAAAACCTTTTTCCCAGCTAGCTGTCATTAATATAAATAAAAGTTCTGTAATCTACCTGCTTGCATCTTTAGGCACCTTTTTAAAATTATACTTTACAGACTGTAAAGATGAAGTGAAGAATGTTCACAATACTTTCTGCATGTACACATACAAACATGATGAAAAGAAATTTAACTACTTCAATTTCATCTGGAGATTTTGGGAGGGAGAAAAAAGAAAAAAAAAAGAAAAAACCCCATAGTGCATTTTAACATTCAATTGATATCATCAGGCTGTGGGTTGTTTACCACAACCTTCTGTCATGGAAGACTGTGTCATCTTCAAGAGTAGACTGAAGCAAGATGAACTGAAATAGTCAAACCTGGAGAGAGGGAACCATGGAGCAATAAGATAAATCCCATGGCTTCAAGATCAGGTTGCAGTTTACTCAATTCATGAAAGAAAGTGCTATGAGATGTGTTTGATATCCACACTCCCAAAACAGATGCTGTTCCCAGACTGGTATCAGACTGTCAGTCTCTACGGCATGACCATAGGGCATCCTCAGTCAACAGAGAACATGATCACTGCTCACGTCAAGAGCTCTCCCAAGCAGCTGCTCCTGCACTGTTTCTGGCCCCAGCCAGATTCTAATCAGTATAAGTCAACGTCTTTCTAAGCAGGATATTGTTTCTGTAGGAAGTTAATAGTTTTCGTTCCCATTATGTCCAGATTTATTGGATATTAGTGGTGGGTAATGCTCCATTAAGAAGGAAAGTAGTTCCTTTCATAAAGCTTTGCACTGGAAATACAAACTACTTTTTCCTCTGAAGTGAAAGTGTTAGTTGTTATTTTCACACAATTACGTGCACTCTTTCAAAAATTCTTTCTGCTCTTTGCTTCCCAGCAGCCTGCATGGCTTTGTGCTCCCCCTTGAGATGAAACGGAATTAATTAAAGCATAGCATGTTATGCCTGCCAAGTTAGTACTCTATGTGTGTAATGTAAATTGGTATGTTGTTTGTCTATGAATATTCTAAATTCTGCCATTATGTATAGGAGATTTTATTTCTGCTTATCTAAAAATATACTTCACCCAAGGAATGTATAATGTTCATCAGTTGCATCTGATTTTTCTAATGCTATTTCTGTTTCACAGTGAAGAGGCAGCAGTGTTCTATTCCAACTTTCTACTCTACTATAAATAGAATGGACTGTTGATAAAAGTTCACAGTTTTGTTCTACTTTTCATTATGTCCTCCAAAAATCAGATCTTTAAACCTGCCAAGATTCTGTTGCTTGCCATGTCTCTTAAGAATTTATTTTGAGTTGGGGGGGGAGGGGCAGGAGGGTGTTGTTTTACACAAGGTAGACTATGAAGTCTCAAGCAACCATGTATCGTGCCCCTATCCAACTACTTGGACCTTAGACTATAAATCTTTATTACATTTCAAACCATTTCATTTCAGCCACAGCGCCCTGTGCTTGCTCATGAAAACATACACAGTGGGGGGGAACCGTAAGTATACTTCTTGTCTATTAAACCAAAACCTAAGATTTAAGCAATAGCCAGCACATCGTCAAATAATTTGTTAACCTGCCAAGTACAATTATGAAGAGATTTCAGAAATTTACAGATAACCGCATGATATAGGAAGATATCCAAGAAGGTCCCAGAGGGCAAAGCCTTAGTTATTGAATTTACATCAAACTCAGACAGACATGCCAACTTACAGTTTCCCATCGTTTATACTTGAAAGGGATAATAATTATGTAAAAATTAAGTTTGACTTTTTTTATTCTCTCCATTTTTACATCTCAGCAGAATGCCAGTTAAAGATTTAACATTGATTCAACTCATCTGCTTTACTGACTTGACACAAATTATTCCAAAACAGTTCTGGATGTGAATAGGGAAAAAAAAATAACTTGATAATGTTGACCGCAGGAACACAGGCTCACACTTTTTGGTGTAATTTACATGTGCAATTTAAAACTTAGATAGAAGAAAGCCTTTAGGAAAACTGAAGAACCACCTAGATCTCAAGTCTTATTTTCACAAACAATGTAAGGACTTGGGATAAAACATGTAAGGCATGTAAGGTTATTTCAGTGCTGACTATGAAAACGCAAGTTCAGTGCAGGATTGTTTCGATTTGTTTGGGGGTTTTTTTGTTGGTTTGTTTTTTTTTAAGTCTTGCACTTGGGTCTTGCTTCAGTGATCATTGAAACCAGTAGCCATTCTTCCCCTAGCATCAAGGCACTTTGGAGTATGCCCTATTAGATTAATTCTCCTAAATGTAACTAAGGCTTAGCATCTAATAATATTTAAAAGTTTACCTGTTAGTCACTTGAAGAAGTGGCAAGACAGAAGAGAGGGGCAAAAAGTTACCAAATAACTATACGGTAAATAACATATAATGAAAATTGGACATTTTGGTTTCAATCTTACTAAAACCATTTTTCTCAAGCTCCTGTTGGTTTTGTTGAGCATACTGAAGCACCTAACTCTGTTTTGTAAGCAATAATTATCTAATTAATTTTGTTCAATATAGTAGAAGTAGTTCATGACTAAAGTTACTTATTCCTAAAATTAAAAATAGAAATATATTTAAATTGCCAACCAACCAGTCTTTGTCTTGAACATGTATTCTCTTAGTGTTGTAAACGGTAGTAGAGTTTTCATATTTAAGAAATTCCTAGATTAGCAAAGAGAGAATTAAATGACTACAAAGGAGTTATTAAAATGGATTATTTGGAAATTACTAAGATTAGATTTCTAAAGTACAAAGAGGGCTAATTGGGAAGTTCTTGTTAGTGTATTTGAGTAAGTAATTGGCTTGAATCCTATTCATGACACATTACATCTGCAACTCCTGTATCTTTGGAAGCTGCATTTAATCAGTTTTGGAATATCATCATAGCTCTGTTTTCCTGCAGTAACGATAAGCATGACAGAAGATGTTATTGCCATTTAATTTTTTGCACAGATTGTTCTTACTCCTGCTACAGAAATTACCAGAGGTAATTGCTTAAATAACCAGTCCCGTTCCGTTTTGTTAGTATGATTTAAAATATAAAGTTAAACTTTTCAGGTTTGGGGAGATAACTGCGAGTCAGGAGAAATTAAGCTAAAATCTTTTTTTTCTTGGAACAGTGTCTTTTTTTTCTCCAAACCAGCAATGTGAAAAATAAATGTGGTTTATTCAAAAAGACCATCATTATACTAAGCCTAGCACCAGTCTGTGTATAGGATTTTCAAATGGGACTTTCAGGAGCAGGAATTTTTTACTGAAATAAACATCTCATTTAAGCAATGGAGACTTTGCCTGAATGATACAGAGCTAATGGAAATACTCAGTACCAACACACCAAAGGGGGAGTTTTTTGTTCTTATTGGGGGAAGTGTAATGGCATTAAGATTTTGAAGTCAGTGAACTGTTGTTAAGGGGGAAAAATGGACATGATTATGTTTTGGTTTAATATTTTGAAATTAAAACTATTTCCTTTGTACAATTTCTGCAGTTGCACCCTGCTCCTTTACACGCAGTCAGTCATAGCTGGGCCACAGATGGTTAGAAAAAAAGGCAGATTCTGACTCTGCGGACTCATGGGCTTTTGCAGCAATTTTCCCGTGGGCTGTCAGCCGAAGAACCTTCAGTTCCCCCTATTAAGAGTTTATTGCCATTCTTTCAATTCCAGGAAACTCAACTAGAAGCTGACAAGGGATGAAAGATAATAAATTTAGTGATCTCATACCTCTTTTCCGTTTATCCACCTCAGATCCTTCAATCTGCAGCCCCTGGCTGGGGTGGAGGAACAAGTCAGTCATGTCCCCTGATTTGATTCAAGCCTCTCCCTCACTCTCAGAGATTTTTTTTTTATATATATACACGGCGGGGGCAGTTTTAACCAGGGAAAGGGTTACTGCTGTATGTTTCCGAATAGCAATTACTGTCCACCTTCCCCCCAGAGGTAGGCACCTCTTTTACATGCAGGGCTCCTCTAGTGCCAAATCGCACCTCAGCAGTTGCTACGGAGGAGCCCAGGGAGGTCCCCCCGTCCCCCCCACACATCCGTAGTGAGTGCCAGCCACTCTCCTGGGCACCCTCCTCCACCGACTGCGGAAGGACGCCAGGCACTTGCTTATGCGGTGCGGCTCTTTGCTCTGCTGGGGCAGAGAACGCGTACGCTAGGTTCAGCTTATGGAGCATAAAGGCAGAGCCAGTTTTAGGTGCCGACCATGGCGGGTTAAGGGGCTAGCGCGTCTACAGAGTCCCTTCTAGAAGTCCTCTGTTTAGGTGAATCAACTATAGAATAATGCTTAAAAAAAAAAAAAAAAAACAAAAAAACCCAAAACACTAGAATTCTGTGTTCAGAGCAACTGATTAAATAAATTGGTTGAGGAGCTATCAGGCTTGCCTTGAGTCCCCAGTCTTTAGTGTCTGATGAGTGACCTTTCTGATAAAGTTTTATTTATTTGCTACAACACATACCTAGCCCTGAAGTCCACCATTTTCCTCTATATTTACAAGAAGTATTATTTCCTAGTTAATGTTTAAACCAGGTCCTTTACTTCAGCAAAGGTGCAAAGAACTCTTACTTCTTTTTAAAATGCATCATTTGTCCTATTTAAGGTTTCAGGCTCTATATAACTATACTCCTAGGAACGAAGATGAATTGGAGCTCAGAGAGGGAGATGTCATTGATGTGATGGAAAAATGTGATGATGGATGGTTTGTGGGTATGTTTTAATTCGGTTGCTTTTTCTTTCTTTTTTTTTCCCTGACCTTTGCTGCCCTCTCTGCTTGGTGGCTTTTAAACGAATTAATTTTTGGTATTCAGTGTAATAAACCTGAACCTGGCTTTATCAGGAGAAATACCAAACAAAATCCACTGAAATTAGGGGCAATTTTTCACTTTTGTCTTTTGGAATTGATGGACAGAAATTGACATGCTTGTTGTACAGCACTGTTGTCATTCTCATGGGACACAAAATGGACTATGTATTACTGTTCTTTTCATAAAGACCAGGTAATGTAGAACTTACTCACATGAATACATCCACAGCACTGACTGCTTGTGAGAACCAAGTATTACTGAACGGAAATTTCGTAACTAGGCCTAGATAAGGTGGCTTAATCATTCCATAAACCCTCATGCACACACTGGCTAACTAGTCCTCAGCATTTCAAAAATTCAAATTATTTAAATAGACCTGATGTTGTTGAAATTAAATTATTTCTGTGTGCCAAATCAAAATTTTAGCACAGATTTTGATCAGGCCTAATAATTTAATCAAATATGCCTCTTTATTTGCTTTTTCCTTCCTGCAGTTATAATTTGTTAAAACTCAGAACTCACAAATTAAATTCAAACTAACTTTTTGAAGTTATATTATAAAGAACTGTAGATATATCTGTTTGTGCAATATTAAACATAAAAATTTAAAGTCCATGCTTACATGGTGATTTCCTGTTGTTATCCCATCTTTCATCTATTGCTTCTAATTTCAGGAACCTCGAGAAGAACCAAATTCTTTGGTACTTTCCCTGGAAACTATGTCAAGAGGCTGTGAATTTTTTTTTCTACTTATTTATGCTGCATCTCTGCAACACATCTGCATAAAGCTGCTAGAAAACATGCTATGCTGGTCTTCTGTTTTCTTGCTTGCAGTCTCAAGTAGAGGCCATCTAGCTCATCCTCATCCCACCCCATCCGCCAAATGTTCCAGCAGTATTACAGCAACGACCACGGTGTGAATAACTAAGTTTTTCTGAATCAAGAGGAATCGTTTCAACGTTTAAATACTCCCTGCTTTAAATCTTTTCATTTGCAACATAGTAGGAAAAGCCTGATGACAGGTACACAGATGAATTGCCATGGGGGCTAGGGAGGGGGAGAAACTGTTCTTGGTTTGGACATTTGTGGTACTATCAGGTGGCCCGATGGGATTTTTTCGGCATGCATGTAATACAGGGGGAAGTTGCTGTTTACTATTTTTTAAAAAAAATTGTTTGAGTTTCCACATTCTTACTAGCTTGGCAGCATTTGTTGCTTTCACTTTGCTGTATCACAGGTTTGCCTATTGTACTGGTTTACAATGTATGACAAATTATAATATAGGTTTTTTGCCTGCACTTGTATGTTGTAACATATGCACAGTGATTGTAAAATCTCAAGCAAGCATAGTGAAAAATGGAAGAACTGCAAGTGTTCTGAACGGGTGCAATGGTATTGGCTAAACCTTTTTTTCTTTTTTCCCCTAAAAAAGCTATAGTGTTTTCTGTTAAAAGGTAAGAAGTGCAAGAGGCATAAAAACTCGGGAAAGAGGATTTAATGAAGAGACAGACAATGATATAAGCATAGACAATAATAACTGGCTACTGATGTCTGGCATTAAGTGGTTGTAATCAAAATGTTGTAACAGTAAGCAACGTGAGATTTCAGAGGTTAGTGTTTTTACGTATCGCAGTAATTTTAAGAAGCAGGAAGTAAACAGTGTTAGTGCAAAGGGCTGTTGGGTTGTGGTTTTTTTCCTAACATAGCCACCTGAAAAATATTCACAAGTATCATGTGCTGATTTATTTCACTATATATATATGTATGTATGTTAACAAAACCTGAGTTACACATTCTTTTTAGAAATTTAGTACAGAAAAAAAAAGTCACAAGTATTAAAACTGATACATTTTAGAAGTGTTGTTTTTTTTTCCTGAATTAAACAAGTATTTGAAAACATACATTTTCCATAAGCAAATGTAAGCATAAATAGCAAATGAAATTAAGGCACAGGATGACAATGACTGTGGCTTTATGAAAATAAAAATTCAGATTTGGTTTATTCAGCACCTTATAGATGGCAAAAGCTTCTACTGCATTTCTCATGGGTAAAGGATTGAAATTATCAAAATATATGTAGTCTCTGTAGTATTTTGTACATATGTTTGCTTTTTTGTACAGAGCCATTTGGTTGTTGATTTTAAAAAAATTAAGTTCCTTATTTGATCTTTGCCCTCTTCACATACAGAACATTTCAATGCATTTTTCTTTTCTTGCTCTATTTACCATAAGCACATCTGGATAGTGCAATTCTGTAAGATAGCATTTTATGCAAAATTTTATTAATTAAAATATGGTTTACCAGCCAAATCTAAATGTACATATGTCTTTATTACTCCAAAATGTCATTAAGACAAAGGTAAAGAAACATCTTTGTGCAGCATACCTTTATTATTGCAGATTTCATGGCAAAAGCTTTATATTCAAAGGCTTTCGATTTTAAACTAGATCTGCATGCAGCTTTGCTGTGAGGTTAATACCTATCTTTGATGCCATTTATGACTGAAGACTTAAATATCTGTTGCCTGTGATATTTAAAAAGTACTGTTTCTACTCTGTATCTGATTTTAGAAAAATGCAGGTTTTTCATACCTGGTTTTCGGGTAACTGACCTTGAATTCCTACAAGCAAAAGGTCTCTGTGGTTTTTTTTCTTGAATAGACTTCTAATAAATTTTGCTTGGAGTACACAACTGTTTCCCCCAATCATTTCTCAAAATACATGTAACATATTACTTAAGTGTTGCAAAGTGCTTAACTCTTCAAGCTTGTATGCAAATAGTCAGTTTTGCCTTGTACAGAGATTTTTTTTCCACCACCAAGCATACACAGTTATATTTT